TGTATTCATTTAGAATTGTTAGCACATGTTGTATCTTTTATTCGTCATGTCTATTATCACATGCTTTATTTGAAGTTGTCGTTACATGTCACATTCTTTACTTGTCGAGTTTTCTCTTATATGCTTTATACGAAGTTGTTATCATTTTTATCATTATGTGATTTCTTTTATTGTGGAGTTAATCTTAGTGGAAGTTGATGTACATGATATCCCTTTTGTTGCCAGGTTATTCTCATGCATTCAGACGTAGTACTAGTTCGTGCCATCTCTTTCATTGTTATCCTAATTCATAAAGTAGGAGCCGAAGTTTGTCATTTCATGGAAATACTTCACTATTGAGTTTATCCTTAAACAATTAATAATTGAGGTTATCAAAAGTTATTAATCTATTTTAATTGAAGTTGTGTAAAAAGAGGGTGTCGTTCCTTGTTGAGTTACTTTCCCATTCCTGTTGTTGTTATTGAGATTTTATACATATTTTGTTTGAGTCGTGGGCTATTTATTGTGGAAATATTGATATTGTTGGATCTTTGGAAAAAGGTTGTGGCCTATGGACACTTGTGTTACGAGTTGATACGTCGTATTGTTGTGATGCTAGCATTTGTGAATTATTGTGTAGTTTTGGTTGTTGTTATACGAAGTATAAGGGTGGCATTTCACCGTTGTTGTTATGCGGAGTATAAAGGTGGCATTTCACCGTTGTTGTTATACAGAGCATAAGGGTGGCATATCACCGTTGTTGAATGTACAGAGTGACAAGGGTGGCTATTGTGTTATTGTCCCGGAGTGATAAGGGTGGGTATTATATGGAGTGATACAGGTGTACCGGAGAGATAAGAGTGGCAAATGTTATTATCAGGGTGGAGTGATAAGGGTGGCTATTACACGGAGTGAAACGGGTGGCTATTAGAGAGATAAGGGTGGCAATGTCAGGGATGATGTGTGATGGTTTGGAGATATTATGTTGGTGATTTTCGTGTGATGATGTGCTTTTCCTTGTGTTTGTCATACACCTTAAGTGACTTGATTTGTTGTTTTGATAGGTTACTCGATGTCTTTGATATTACTTGTTGACTTGGGCTGCAGTAGTACACTCGCACTAGCATACACCGTAGCATGCCACTTATGCTAGCTTAGGAGTATGAAACTTGACATTTATTGACCATGCCCATATGTTCTTATATTATCTGTTTCCATGTTGATATTGAACCTGTGACCATAACGGATGGATTGTGATTGTGAGCCTGTGACCATGCCGGGAGAATTGTGATGAGTCTGTGATCATGCTAGGCGAATTGTGAGCCTGTGATCATGCCGTGCGGATTGTGATTGTGATCCTCTGGCCATGCCGGACGGATTATGAATATGAGCCTATGATCATGCCGGGCGGATTGGGATATTGGCACGTGAGTTGTCCGTGCGGTTGTGATTCGAGATGTGGGCACGACGTGCCGTGAGTACATGATGGTGGGTTGAGACCCTTGACTTGTGACTATGAAATGAGGTATCACGGGGTAATTTCGTTGTGAATCTTGTGTTAGCACGACTTGATTAATTGATTGTCCTCTGTGTTCCTTATTTGGTTTCAATGATACTTTTTGGTGTTCTTGTTGCTTTACTCTTTATATCACATGTTGATTTTGTTGGCATTTACTGATTTCTATTTTCCATTATTAGCTTTATACTTCTATACTGCACAGGTTACTTTGTCTAGTGAGTGTCTTGACTTGTACCTCGTCATTACTCCACCGAGGTTAGTCTTGATACTTACTGGGTATCGATTGTGGTGTACTCATACTATACTTCTACACATTTTTGTACAGATCCAGGTATTTCGGAGTCTATGGATAGTTAAATAGTGGATCAGATATTTCTGTGGAGACTTCAAGGTATGCATGTCGTCGCGTTGCAGGCCTCAGAGTCTCATTCGAAAGTTATTTGTGTACAATTTATTTCTATTCCAGAACAATTGTACTTAGAGATTTTCTAGCGAACTCAGTAGAGCTTATGACTTGTACTACTAGTTTTGGGATTGTTGGCTTTGTATAGAAATTTTTATTTCATATTTAATAGTTATTGGTTGAATTTCGCCATTTATTCAGTAAGTGTTAGGCTTACCTAGTATTAAAGACTCGGTACTATCACGACATCCTACGGAGGAAAATTGAGATCGTGACAGTGACTTGTACATAAAATTTATGTCATTCCGAAATGTTTAAGTGTGATTCGGATGCGTTCGGTGAAGTTTGAATGTTTGAAAGTTAAAAGAAGGATTTTGATCATCGATTCGTAGTTTTGATGTTATTCCTGGCGTTTCGAGCCTTTGAATAAGTTTGGATAAGGTATTAGGACTTGTTGGTATCACTGGACGGGGTCCCGGGGGCCTCAGGTGTGTTTTGAGGTGGTTTTGGACCAGGTTTGGGTGATTTTCTGATGTTGGTGTCTGGTGTTGTTCTTTGCGAACGCGATGGTATGTATGCGTTCGCGAAAAAGATTTTTGGCTGTTGGAAAATATACGTCGCGAACGCGACACAGGGTCGCGAACACGACACAGGGGTCGCGAACACAACACATGGGTCACGAACATGACACAGGGATCGCGAATGCGGAGAAGAGGTTGAGGTGCCCTTCACGAACACAACAGGGAGTCACTTGTTTGGGTGATTTTTGGAGCTCTTGGAGGGGAGATTTTCATCATCTATTATTAGGTAAGTTATTCCCATTTGTTGTAAGATAAATACATGGATTATATATGAATTTAAACACGAAATTTTGTAAGAATTATGGGATTTCGGAAGAAAACCTAGAATTTTGTATTTCTGGATTTTGACGACAAAATTGGACATGAAATAGGAATAAATTATATATTTGAGTTTGTGGTGTTATGGGTAATATTTATCTTTGAATTATTTTGGAATCCGGGCATGTAGGCCCAATGGTTGACTTTGTTGACTTTTCAAGCAAAGTTGAGAATTGTTATAAATTAATTAATTATGAGTGTTGGAGTATATTTTTATTGGTTTACACGTTGTTTGACTAGTTTCGGATCGATGGGCATCGATTTGAGGAGTTGGAGTGGCATTGGAGCCGGTTATCAGAATTCGAAGCGAGGTATGTCTCCTGTCTAACCTTGTGAGGGGGAAATTACCCCATAGGTGATGTATTTGTTATATGTTACTTGTTGTGGGGGATACATACGTCACCTCGCATGAGAGTCCGTACGTAGCTAAAAGTATGTTTATGCCCGGGTAGACTTAGGACTTTATCATGTAATATTTGAATTATTTGAACTTAATTTGCTTGTTTAATTACTTGAATTTATAATTAAAATTTGATTGGGAATATGTTAGGCCGAGCTTTGTTACATCGAGTTGCTTGGCGAGACATTTGATAAACGATAAAAGTCATGTTTACTTTATGCTCCTACATCTGTGTTGCAAACACGTGGCCCGTAAATTCTATAAGTTTCTTTCTTCCCTATGGATTAGACAGAACGCCTCGGCAGTATATTGAGATGCATCTATGGTTCGCGCCGGTTGACCCTCGGCAGTGTACACACTGTTCTGGATCGGACCGTACGACCTCAGCATAACTCGTGCGTAATACTCCTAGAAGTCCGAATATTTATGAGATTCCTCTTTGATTGGGATCTGGCAGTTACATGAGATGCCTTATTTGTTGAGATAGCGCTTGATATCCCCTCTTTGAGGTAGCCTTTGATTCTTGTATTTGTTGAGATAACACATGAGATTTTGAGAAATTTATGCTGTCATCAGGTTGGAGGACTATATTAGTTACAGTTCTTGCTTCATTATTACTGTTGTGTTTCATATCTCTTATTAATTTATTATATTGATTTATTAGACCACTAGTAAGTGTCGATGTCGACCCTCGTCACTACTTCTCCGGGGTTAGGCAAGATAGTTACTAGGTATGTGCTGATTTACGTACTCATGCTACACTTCTGTACTTATTGTGCATGTATATCTCTAATGGTCATTTGGGCGCAAGGACGCAACTATTGAGGGGACTTTAAGGTGAGCTGCATCCCATGATACTCCGCAGTACACGGAGCCTCCATCATGTTTATTTATGTTATCCTGTCTATTTTCCATTTCAGACAGATGTATTATTATTATTAGGGTACTTCCTAGTAGATGTTCATGCACTTGTAACATTGGATTTTGGAATAGTCTAATAGATGTTAATAGTTTTGCACCAATATTGACACATTTTTATTTCATATTTTATTAATATTGTATGTATCCATGATTTTAAATGCATTAAATTCTTTATTTAATAAAATTTATGATTTCTAAAGTAATAAAATAAATAATTATTGAGATGGTTCATCGTTGGCTTGCCTAACGGTAACATTGAGCGCCATTACGGCTTATAGTAGGTTTTGGATCGTGACAGTTTGGTATATTGTATTAATCTCGAGATTATCAATTTTACTACTTTATCCTGTGATAACTTATCTTGGGACCTCTGGCATGTATAAGTTATCCGATACTAATCATAAAATAACTTTTTCAAGGATCAATAATCAAACAATGAATAATGAGGTACTAAATTATTATTCCAGGATTATTTTTGCTTATTCATCATACCAAACGACCCGTTGAACTATACTCTCTCCGGTCCACAATAAGTGACCAATTTGCCTTCGGCACACCCATTAAGAAAATACTAAATTCTAGACAAAAATAGTTAGTGTGACTAAACTACTCTTAATTTAATGTTGCAGCATAATTTAATGTGAGAACTAAAAGACTTTTTAGGGATACGTACATAAGGGTAATTTTGGAAAAACAAATTAAATTTTTTTTTGATTATATAAATGGACACTTATTTGGACCAAAATAAAAAGGCAAATTGATCCCTTATCGTGGCTATTTTATTTTGCTTTGAGACCATATTATTTTATTCATTGTATGGGGCAAATGTGCTTACTATATAAGATGGTTTCATTGGACAGGCGTTCATTTCAACCCAAAAGATAAAGCGACGGACACACAAAGAGAGCGCATTAATCTTAATAGAGTATTGCTATTCGTTTAATTACTACTAAGCCCTCTAATAATAGTAATAATGACTGAATAAAAGAGAGAAATAGCAAGGAAGGGAAAGAGAGAGCATAGGAAATGGCGAAGAAAAAAGAGGAAGAAGTAGCAGCAGCAGCAGCTCTCCTCTTCATGAGTTCTCACAACTTTCTCTCTCTAGATCTCTAAAAATCAATTCTTACCCACTTTCTCTTTCTATATATACATAGCCCATATATATGTAGTGATGAACATGAAAGTGTAGGGATCTGCTGCTAGGGATACACTTTGCTCTTATTACCTCAAATTTTGGTGAGAAATGCTTCCAAATTTAATTTCCCATGGTTTTAATATATCATTGTAAATGTTTATGTACTTCCTGTACCAAAGCTACCAGATATGAAATTTATGTTAATATTCTTAATTATAAAAAGGGATGAATAAATGGTTGTGTGATGGGTTTTTGGAGTTTGGACAATGGTTTTGGTCGATGGTCTACACATTTTTACCTCTTCTTTTTATCCCTGTTTTTAGTTGGAAAGATTTTGTTAATCTTTGGGAGATTCTTTTCTTGGCTATTCTTACTGTTTCTCACTGCACAAGTCTTTGCTGTTGACTTAATTTATTTCCTTCAACTGTAATCTTATTTTTTTCCAAGCATCTTGTTCTAATGTTTGAAAGGTCTGAAATAGTAGAATCTGTCCTTTTATTTTGAATAGAAATGAGAATTTAAATCTACAAAAGTAGTAGTATGTGAATTTATTCCTAGTCAAGACAGAGTCTTTCTCTATTATTTTTTTTCCATCTTGGTTGAGAATATTAGTATTTGTTCCCATCAGTCTCTTTGATATGTGCCTTTTCTTTTTCTTTAAGAGCCAGAAGGTAGGTTTCAAAGCTCATTCCTTTTTCTGTCTTCTCAGTGTGGTGAGTTGTGTTTTAGTGATAAAGAGTATTCTTGGTTTGTCCAAATAATCTAATTTGTAATCAACTGCTTTCTGAACCTGCGAACGTGCCATTGAATTTGACTTCTTATCATTTGTCACAGAAGGTTGGCTTCTTCTGTGAGCTGCTGTAGATTTTGCAGTGATAGATTTTGCCTGATTTGTTGTGTTCTGATACTGATTCGAGACTTTCTTCTCTTTCAGTTGGATTATGAGATAAGAGTATACACTCTTGACTGTAGCTGTTAGAAAAGAGATTGTTATCTTGTTACACCATCAGCTTTGGTATTTGTTGTACTACAAACATGAACATGAATCATCTGACTGTTGAAACTGAAGATGCTTTTGCTAGTTTGCTTGAATTTGCAGCCAACAATGATATAGAGGCATTTAAAAGTTGGATGGAGCGTGATATATCTGGTATTCATGAGGTTGGACTGTGGTATGGGCGCCAAAAGGGCTCAAAGCAAATGGTTCTCGAGCATAGAACTCCTTTGATGGTTGCTGCTATGTATGGTAGTGTTGATGTTTTAAAACTGATTCTTTCTCTACCTGGAGTTGATGTAAATCATTCTTGTAGCCGTGATAATAGCACTGCCCTTCATTGTGCTGCCTCTGGTGGATCTTTGAATGCTGTTGATGCTGTCAAACTTCTTGTAGAAGCTGGTGCTGACCCAAACATAAAAAATACCAATGGCCATCGCCCTCTTGATGTTATAGTTATTTCTCCCAAGTTTCACACCATGAAATCTTGCCTAGAAAATCTGCTCAAGACTGATGCTACCGAAGACTGCAACCTAAGGGTGTCTATGGCCACATCAAGCTCAAATTCTCCACCACTTTCGCCTTCTCCTGGAAATAGATCATCATCTTCTGCTTCAGACACAACTTCTTCCCCGAGGAGTGCAAAATCTAGTGATCTCCCTGTGCCGTTTACTTCAGAGAAGAAAGAATACCCTATTGATCCCTCCATGCCTGACATAAAAAACAGCATCTACTCCACAGATGAGTTCAGGATGTTCTCATTTAAGATCAAGCCTTGCTCTCGTGCATACTCCCATGATTGGACTGAATGTCCATTTGTCCATCCAGGTGAAAACGCTCGAAGAAGAGATCCAAGAAAGTACCACTACAGCTGTGTACCTTGCCCTGAGTTTCGCAAGGGAGCTTGTCGACGAGGGGATATGTGTGAATATGCTCACGGGGTTTTTGAGTGTTGGTTGCATCCTGCTCAATATCGAACTCGGCTTTGCAAAGATGGTACAAACTGCGATAGAAGGGTTTGTTTCTTTGCCCACATGCAGGAGGAACTCAGGCCACTGTATGTCTCTGCTGGTTCTGCTGTTCCTTCACCTCGATCAAATACTTCTGCTGCCAATGCCTTGGATTTCGCCGCTGCGATGGGCCTCATACCAGGTTCTCCTTCCTCAGTATCTGTTATGCCCCCATCACCTTTCACTCCTCCAATGTCTCCCTCGGCTAATGGCATTTCGAACATTGGTTGGCCCCAGCAAAATGTACCAGCGTTGCATCTTCCTGGCAGCAATCTTCAGTCCAGTCGCTTGCGCTCATCACTCAATGCAAGAGACATCCCTGCCGAAGATATGACTATGTTGTCAGATTTTGATGTGCAACAAAAGCAGCTACTGTATGAATTGTCATGCCTATCCCACTCCAGCATGAATGCTAATTCTTTTAGCCATTCAGTTCGTCCTAGGACCTTAACCCCTTCTAATCTCGAGGATTCATTCTCCGCTGAGAGCTCATCTCCAAGATATTCCGATCACTCATTACCTCAAGCTGTTTTTTCCCCTACCCACAAGTCTATAGGTTTCAATCAATTCCAGCAGCAGCAGGCGACGTTATCTCCAATTAATACAAGGTTTTCACCAAAAACTGTCGAAAGTCCTCTATTGCAGGGCTCTTTTGGAGTTCCGCCAATGCGGAATATGTCTCCCCGAGGGATGGAACCAATCTCACCAATGAGTTCCCGTGCCTCAATACTTTCTCAGAGTGACAAGCAGCAGCAATTTAGGAGTCTCAGCTCACGTGATCTTGGCTCCAGTGCCTCTGCCATTGTTGGCTCTCCAGCAGATACTTGGTCGAACTGGGGTACAGCTACGGGACAGCCAGACTGGGCTGTCAATACTGAGGAGTTTGGTAGGCTAAGGAGATCATCATCATTTGAACTTGCCAACAGTGGAGAAGAGCCTGATCTATCATGGGTTCAATCTCTTGTCAAAGAATCACCACAGGAAGTTAAGGACAAATCTGCATCTCGCGTATCAGGCCTTACAAATGCTGGTGCAGATATCAGAGAAGCCTCAACATCAAGTTCCCAGATTGGACAATTCGATCAACTGGGCGCATGGATGGAGCAAATGAAGCTTGATCAGCTAATACCTCAGTAAAAACATCCTCCATTTTCCATTTACCGATCCTTGACGCCTCAAAGCATAAGGTTTTGGTAAATATAAACTGGTTTTTGTTCTTGTATTCACTTCATGTTGGCTTGGGAGCAAGGCAACTGTAAGCAGAGATGAAGCCAAGCCAGCAGTGAAAGAAGTTCCATACTTTTGAAGAAAATTAACTTTTATAATTTGCATTTATTATATAAAGCAGGTAATATAAAATTGGGTTTAGGTGATTTTCTCCAACATTACTGAATGTAGACTTACTAAAGAAATTTTTTACCTTGATTTCTTTAATTAGAAGGATATTTCAGTGTACTAAAAGCAATTTTCATTTTTGTGATAAATCTATATTGACATGAAGTTATTTTCGATGAATGTTGAAAAAATGTTTTGATTTTTTGGTTCACCCTTTTTTGGTGTGGGAAAAGAAATATGATGTGCAAATTAGTCATTGTGAATTCTGATGTTGTGGCTTGGAATAATGTTAGTGCTAAAAGGTGCTGTGTAAAGGTAGATAAGAAGGCTATCTGATTAGTTTTTGATGCAACATGCTTGTTCATTGGAATTGGAATTAGAATTCCATATTCCTTTACGTGACTCGTGTATTCTGTCCTTTTTATTTATTACAGTAATGCCTAGGCTAGTTTGCGTCTTACACGGAGTTTAAGAAAAAATAAAAGACTTTTAGAATTTAGGGTCCTAAACAAGTCAAAAAGGGGTCTAAAGTATTTGTGTGATTATAAAAGCTTCTTATTAAGGGTATAATTGGAAGTTTAAGCTAAATTATTTTCAAATTTAAAAAGGGGTCATTCCTTTTGGAACGGACCAAAAAGAAAATAGGTTCACATAAATTGGAACAGAGGGAATATGTTTTTATCTCTGTTGGGATGAACTCTAGTCTCCTATGTTTGCACTTTCTTCGTTGATATTATACCACATGATTGGATGCGATATGCTTATTCTATCCTTAGACATGCTTATTCTACCCTTAGGTATGCTTATCCTTTCTTTAAGTTCCCAACAACATGAGTTAATACTACCTCCGTTCACTTTTATATGTCTAGTATTTTAAAATTAAATTTTTATTTTTACTTGTCACTTTTAGCATATTAAAAGAAGATAACTTTTTTTTCTTCCTGTTATACACATAGTATTAATTATTCTTTTCAAATTATTTTCTCAAATTTATTAAAAATATGCATCGATTAATATGGGTATCATGGTAAATTATGTACCTCATTTATTATTTTTTAAAGGATGTACATAATTTATAGTGGACAAGTAAAATTGAACTGAGGTAGTATATTTTATCTTGGAGAGTGGTGGATTCTTGTTTACTTGACAAAATAGAGAAGCTGAGTTTTTGGTGGATTCCAAATCCCAAAAGTTAGATTTGGGGTTTGTGGAGGATGGGAAAAAGGCTTATTCATTTGGGATTACACCAATCCTTTTGGGGATTGGATGGGATGGTGAACTTTTTATTAGATTGGGAATAATGAATCCTTATATTCTAAGATATAATGATGAATGATGATGGTGGAGTTTTCATGGAAATAAATACTGATATTCATTACATGCTGTGAATTTTTTTTTTTGCATGTGGACTTGGCATAAAGATTTTCTGAAATCTCTGTTATGCTTCACGTTCCTTTCGACTAAACAATAAGGTTCCAAAAGGTTGATCCGTACATGTTGGGATCGAAATGACATGGTGTATGTGAGTTAACAATGCAAAACTGGTGGACAATAAATCAGACAAGAAAGAAAATATACTAAAGAATAGGATATTATAATGAGATTTGGACAATTGACCTACATATAAAAACTAGTATAAAAATATAAAAACTATTGAGAGAAAAATCTCCCCTAAATAAGATTCTCTAAAAGACTACATTGCGGATATTGTTGTTGTTGTTGTGAGAAGAAAACGTCAATTTATAGAAGTATAAAATTTCTCTAAGAAAATAATAAGGCATATGTGTTTAACCAAAAATTAGATTTTAGGTCAAAGCTTGAATTTAGAAGAACTCGGGTTACTGATAATCGGAAAAGTATATAAGAAAGAGATTTTGAATGATATAATCAGAAAGCAAAAAGAACAAAGTTTATTCCAGTAATATTTTCTCGTGTCCTACAGATGTTATGACTTTCTCCTTTTATAGTTAATTTTAAGAGAAAGTGTAATGCCTTTGTCTTAATGAGGCAATTACGAGCAATAAATGACATTAAAAGAAACATTACTCAATCATTCATATTAAATACAAATTCTCTAACGTATTTAACATTTAATGCTGAATTTGGACTCTTTTTCGTTATCAGATTCATGTCTTCAATTCCTTCTGATCTTCGAGCTTTAAACGACTCGAACAGGTACGAGTCTCGTTTCATTTGAATAATAGCTCGTGCCTTTAAGTATCTTCTCTCTCGCATCTGTTGTTGCTCGTGCCTTCTAACTGATTACCACGCTTTGACTATTTGACCGGTCCACGTGTCATGACACGTCATCTTCAATATTTAAATTCAGTTTTTTCCCAATACAGATAGTCCCCCCACTTTCCATTTATTTATCAATTAAATATTTGGGAAGTGGATCTTCATTAAAAAGGGAATTTTTGCCTATAATCAATGCTATGAACAGTACCAACGCTTCAATTGTCTTTTCTATTTAATACATTGCATACGTGTCACCTTCTCATTAGCTCTGCAATTTCTGCAGCCTTTTTTCAAGGCTTCTTCAACTCCACTATTCACGAAGTGATAATTGCCTTTATTATAGGCTTTCCATCATTACACTTCTTAGTCTTTGACACTCGCTTTTACATAAACTTAACCCTTCTTCCACAAAATTTTACCACGGTCGCCCATCAGTATAAATTCAATTTTTCCTTTCACCTTTTACCACATAAAACTTTTTCCTTGAACGCTTGAATTGTGCGAATCTCTGTTTACTTCTTTCTCTTCTTCATCATGTCTTCTTCGAACCCTAACCCTAAGAGAGTTCCTATTTTAGACAATTTTCCCAATGCTCATGTTAGACATAGAAGAGGTGGGAGACTTTGTAGTTTAGGATCCTCTCGTGGTGGTGGTTCTGCCATGCCTTCTCCTAGCCCTGGTTCTTTCTCTAGAACTAGAGGTTCTTTTTCTCAAAAATCATCTTCTAAGAGCAATGAGGCTTCTGAACCATTATAGGAACCCTTGGTAGAAGAAATAGTTCCTAACGATTTATCTTTTCAGCATGATAGACAATCACTTCAGACCCAAATTTCTGGTTTGGATCGTGTTGATGCTTACCCCACTATGATTACAGAGATTTTAGCACCCATAGTTCGCAAAGATTGTCACTGGAGTAATGATTTTTCCATTGTAATCCCCAATCCAAATCAGAGGATTACTTCATATATGACTGGATTCTCTTTCGTTTACACATACCCTTTTACTCTTGGGTTTAAACCAGCTATTGACCCAGTAATTCTCGATTTTTGTCGTTTCTTCAAAGTTTATTTAGCACAGTTGGCCCGCTTGTATGGAGGGCTGTTGCTTGTTTAAGGCATCTGGCCAATTTAGCAGACGTTGATTTCACCTTCTCCCACCTAATTCATCTATACTCCCTTAGACTTTTTCGTAATGGAGTCTTTACCTTAGTGGCTAGGAGTAAGAGAGTTTTGGTAAGCCCATAAGATGATAAGGATCATGGCTGGTATGCCCGATTTGTTGCTGCTCCCACAATTGATTTAGTGGGTGAACAAAACGTTCCCTTCCCTGAGAAGTGGAATTTTGCACGTAAGTCTTTCATCTCTCCCGTACCTCTTTCTTTTGAGTTTACAAATTTCTTTAACTTTGTTTCTTTTTTTTTCTTTAGCAACCATGGGAGTTGTGGAGAACATTCCCAATTTTCGTGGTTGGGTAGATAAATTGTTGAAGATTGCTCCTATGGAGGCTAGGTCTTGGAAATTTATTTCCAATCATCATGGTTGAAAAGTAAAGACTCACGGTATGAGTTTTTGTCTTTCTAGTATGTAAGATATTTCTCTTTATTGCCTTAACTTTCAATTTTCTCTTTGTCAGGTTTTGCTATTCGAGGTGATAGTGCTGAAGGAGTTGCAGCTTCTCGTTTAGGAACCCAACTTTCTTTAGAAAGTGCTCAGGATATTCTTCTGAAAAGAAAAACCGCAGACGATGATAGCTCCGACGAAGGAGAGGAGGATGGTTCCTTGGTGAAAAGGCCAAGAGTCCGGAGACGTATCGTCTCTGATGAGGCTGAAGTTTCACATCATCTTTCTCCAACCGGGCCTATTAATCTCGTCTCTGACGATGATGTTGCTACCCTTCCTGATACTCTTGAGTCGATTAACCAGCTTTTCGTTAGTGGTTTTAAGAGTGGCGAGTTAGGACCCGTTTTGGATGAACCTCCCCTATCTTCTTCTTCAACTCCCATACCTTTAGTTCCTTCCCTTCCTTCTTCTCCCGTGCCTTTGGTTACTTCCTTATCTGCTCCAACTTCTTCCGTGCCTTTGGTTCCTTCCGTATCTGCTCCAACTTCTTCTTCACCTCCCGTTACTATTTTCGCTTCTTCTACCGCTCCTCCTTCTACTGTTCACAATGTAGAAGCGGGTTCTACAAGCAAAAGGATTGCTATGAGGAGCGTGACTATCGAAGTGCCTGCTAACAACAGCCTTTTGAGGAAATCCGGTCAGGCGGATGTTTGGCTTGAACCCTTAATAGGCCCAATTGAGAAAGAAAAAATGAATAGCCATAGCTGCCTGACTCTGATGAACGACATAGTTCATTCCACCTTGAAGGTATTCCCCTTCTTTCCTTAATTTTGCCAGAATTTTTCTAGAATTCTAATTTTTCTTTCCTTATCATTTTCAGGCCAACCTTATTGGTACAGAGCTGATGAGCAGAATTTCTTTATTAGAGAAGGTGGCACATGACTCTGAAAAGGCTGTTCTTGATTCAGAGAGGGAAGCTCGTGACTTTCAGTTGGAAGCAGCTAATTGGAAGGACCAATTTGATAGTGCTCAAATAACAATAGAAGATTTACAAGAGAGCAGGAATAACCTTGAACAGCAGGTGAGAGCATTAACTTCATAGCTTGCAGTTGTTAAGGCTTCTTCAATTCAGGCTGAGAAAGAAGAGAGCGTCTCGAGTCTTCTTTCTCAGAACAATTATCTAAATCAAGTGAAGAGATTAGAGAGTTGAGAGCTCTTTTAAGTCAAAAAGAAGTTTATGCTGGAGATTTGATGCAGAATTTGACTCAAACCAAGAAAATCTGCGAACTTCTGAAGACCAGGTGAACGCCTTAGAAAAATCTCATGCCTCTCTCCAGGCCTCTTATAACTCAGCTCTGAATGAAAATGAGAGTCTCAAAAATGAAATTGTTGCTTGGGAAAG